ACCGAAGATATTTGGTTGTTGTAAATAGCACGAGCTTCAACCCGAGTCATTAGCCATGGCTGTTGGAGCAGAGGAAACACGGCTCATCACCCCATCGGGAGTAACCCTGCACTGTCTCTTTGCTTTCTGAAACTTGGGGGCAGGAGAACGGTTCTGATTCATTTCCTGAGGTTTGCTACGCTGCAATGCTGTGGGACGGATCGTTTCAGCTGGTGAAAAATGCAGCTCATTCAATATCATGAAACCGATTCTATTTTGTTGTGTTCGAAAAAAATTATTTTTGTGGCTGGGCCGTGTCATTGCCAACCTGTGCTCCCTCTCCTGCCCCTTCCCGACTTCCTTCCGTGCGTCCCTGAGTCTGTAACCTGCTTTGTCGGACTCCAGTGCTGTGCACTTCGCCGGTTCTAAGGATCCGGCTCTGCTCTCAGATTCCTTGACCTGACCGAGCGCCCCACGAGCAGGTACTACCCGTCTCTGCCCATGTCAGGAGTCAGGGCCCTGTGAAGGAAGGAAATGTCAGGAACAGATACCACTGTGGGGTTCCATTAAAAGTCCTACAAACATGGGCCGGAGTGTTCACACAGCGGGAAGGGCGTTTGCCTTGCATGCGGTTGATGTGGGTTCCATCCCTGGCACCCAGTATGGTCCCCCAAGCACCACCAAGAGTAATTCCTGAGTACAGAGCCAGGCATTACGTAACCCCTGAGCATCCCCAGGTGTGGCCTCCAAGCCAAAGAAAGATCCTACAAATGTGAATGCATCCAGAGAGTTGGTTTAAAAAAAAAAAAAAAAGATTGGTGACACCTAGCAGTATTTGGAGACGACCCAGGTGCTGGACACCGGGGTAGTGACTCAGCATCAGGCGATGGACGCTGGGGTTCTGTGAGCCCCTCCCCCGCCCTTAATGTCCCTACAGACCAGAACTCCAAAGGGGGCATTTGCTCACCCCAGGGAAAGCTGCGACACGCCCACAGATGCACCGAGTGCCAACCCCAGGGAACCAGCCCGTTTCCTTTCCGTCCCTGAAGCCTGGCCAAGCCCCCGACAGCACCCCAGAGTATCGCAGACTCCACACCAGGCCTGGGAGACGCTCCTCCGGTCCTGCCCCTTGAGCTCCCAGCCCACCCGGAGGACTGAGAGAGGCGTGGGGGAGGGGACGGACCCTTCTTACTGGGGGTGCTGCTGGGAGGGGCGGGCAGGCCTCCAGATCCCCCACCACTGCCTCAGCCAGCTGCATCTTCTGTCCGGGAAGTGCATTCACAGGAAACAGGATCAGGGGCCCAGTCCAGAGGGTAAGGCCCCTGCAGACCCTGTTCGAATTCCCGGCACCATATACGGCCCCCTGAGCACAGAGCCGGGGCAGGCCCTGAGCACTGCCAGTTGGGACCTCATCCCCCAGACTACTTCATTAGAAGTAGAGCTTGGAAACCGGGACTCTGAGAAACCCAGTCACACCATGGGAAGACTCCCACTGCACCCCGACTGTCCGGAGGCCCGGGAAGCCGAAACCCACTGTGAGATCACAGCTTGAAACGGATGCAAAGACCCACACCCACCCCCAAGAGGAGCCCAGCTTGGGTCTGAGAAGGAAGAGAAGCAGCACGCGCTGGGAGCGAGACCGCCCCCCCCATCCCTGGGAATCCTCTGGGCCTCCCCATCTCTCCAGGCATCCCCCGCCCTTACACGGGAGCCTGTTCTGGGCCAGTCACATGCACAGGTTCCATCTTCGTAACCATTCAGAGCCCGAGGACCCTCATCAGGGGCCACTTCCTGTAACGACCTTCATTCATCCCAGAGTCACCTACGATTCGCCAGCAGAGGTCTGGGCTTGGGCGGGGGTCCGGGCCGCAGACTCAGAGAGCACGGTCTGCCATCCAGACCCTCGAAGCACACTGGTGGAAGACATGAACCCCAAGGCAGAGGGCACAGCCAGAGCCGGCCACCGGGGTACAGGGCAGGGGAGGAGAAGTCCACGACCTCCGACATGCCACAGCCGAGGGTGATCACAGCGTGTGACCTGGTGGGGCAGAGTCGGTGCCACCGTCACTCGGGGCTCAGACGCCATCACTCTGCTGGCCAGCGGGCAGCCCGACCAACTGGGAACACTCGCTCCAGTCCGTCACGGCCCTTCAGGAGACTCACGGGTGCAGGACTGGGTAGAGTGCTCGTCGTGACTATGAGGCCCCGCACTCCATCCCTGGTGCCTCCCCCAGCAAAGAAGCAAGGGGTGTGGTTCCCAGGGACCCTGCAGGGCCAGGGTGGGACATGGGCCTGACAGCCCAAGGTCCGGCATGTCACCCCTGAGCTCTGACGCAGGGCCCTCACCCTCCAAGGAATCAGATGTGGAATCCAGTCTCCTCCGTGCTCCTCCGCAGTGCTCCTGATGCTAATCATCCGGAGAAAGGTCTTACCCCGATCCCCCCTCAAGGTCACCCCACATCCTCTCGTGCTTCTTGTGTGCGTGGGCCGATGGGCATTAGTCTCTCCCAGATCTGTTTTTCATTTTTCTTTTTTAAGTTTTTGGGCCTCATTTGGCAGGGCTCAAGGCTTCCTGCTAGCTCTGAACTCGGGGATCTCTCGGGACAGGGCTTGGGGCAACCGTAGGTGGTGCCTGGGACCGAACCCAGATCAGCTGTGTGCGAGTCCCAGTTCTTTCGAGCCCAATAATCAACAGCCCTCCATGTCTCTCCTCACGGCGGGAGGGAGGGGAGGATCTATCCCCACACAAGGAAAACTTCTGTTCTCATCTATGTTCCATCTCCAGCTTTTCTTTCCAAGTTTCCACAATTCACATCCTCTCCTCACCGCCTTCCTCCCTACCAATTTGTAATCAGTGTCAACAAAGGTAACAAGAAGGTTCCAGCAAAACGCAGAGCAACACGTGGCATACACAGACATGCGTGCCACGGGAAAGCCACAGGGAAACACCACACCACGGACCAGTGCAACCCACGCCTGGTGCCACCAACCGCATGGCTCCACTGAGCGTCAGGCGTCTGTTACAAAGTGGGGGCTCAGAGGCCGACAGAAGGGGAACGCAGAACACTGGCAACGAGACGCAGAGCCAGGTGATTAAACAATCTGGTAACAGGGGCTGGAGTGATAGCACAGTGGGTAGGGCATTTGCCTTGCACGCAACCGACCTGGGTTCGATTCCCAGCATCCTGTATGGTCTCCCGAGCTCCCCCAGGAGTGATTCCTGAGTGCAGAGCCAGGAGGAACCCCTGAGCATCGCCGGGTGTGACCCAAAAAGAAAAAAAAATCTGGTAACGGGATGAACATCCAGGGGTATGTGGTACTTTTTAGGGGGGATGAGGGATCTCTCTAAAGATGCTTCTGAATCTGGGGGCCACTTCCCATGATTCTGCAGCCTGCAAGGGTGCCTGGTGGACCGGGGGTGCTCAGGGCAGGGGGTGCTGCTTATCTGGGGGGGCTCACGGCAGCTCCCCCAAGGGGCTGGGGAGAAGGCAGGCTTCTGGGCCTGAATCACGACGCCCATCAGCCCTCGGCCCCGTCTCCCTGCTCCCGAGATCTGCTTTGAAGTTAAAAATAACAGCATGTGTAATATGATCCCAAATAAGTTTATTTTTCAAAAGCCTTGTTTACCCAAGAACACTGAAGTCCTGAGTAATGTTTTAAAATAGCATTAGATGTTCTAACTTATCTTTACAGTAAAAAAAAAAAAGACTCGGAGGAAACTCGGTAGAGAGTCAGCCTGACAATGGTCGGACAGTCCCTTTCTGGGCCAAGGACAGGGAATCCCTGTGGGCTCCGGGGCCGTGGGCCCCTCATGGCCCTTACTGGTCACGCTGGCCTTGCTCGGAAATAAACTACGTCTCTCCAGCAAATTCCAGCAGATTCAGCGTGATTGTGACCCGGGGGGCTGGTGAGTGTCGGGTCTCAGCGTGCAGTGTAGACAGGAGGAAGGGAGAGGCCATGCCCCTAACCTCCTGGGTCAAAGGCCAGCCTCTGGCTCCTGCCTCTGTGCTGGAGATGGCTGGCAGGGCCAGGAGGAGTCTTCCTTTATTTATTTATTTATTTATTTATTTATTTTGCTTTTTGGGTCACACCTGGCGATGTTCAGGGGTTACTCCTGGTTCTGCACTCAAGAATTCCTCCTTGGCAGTGCTCGGGGGACCATATGGGATGCTGGGGATCGAACTCGGGTCGGCTGTGTGCAAGGCGAATGCCCTATCCACTGAACTATCTCTCCGGCCCCAGGAGGAGCCTTCTTTTAAATTCGGACAGTGTGAGGCCTTCTGGGCCCCCAGGCCTTGCCAAACCCATGTCTACCGCCTCTGTCCGCACTGGGTAGCCACAGGGCACCGGGGGTGCATCCCTGCTCCCCGGCATCCCTGCGCTTGGCTGGAGTACGCGGGGCTTGTGGTTCTGCAGTGAAGAGGTGCCTCTTCCTGTTCCCGGAAGCTCCCTTCAGGGGTCCCACCCATCCCCCATGCGGGACCCTCCCCTGCCCCAAGGAGACCTGACAGCCACCTCTGCCTTCTAGCACCTTCTCTCCTGGGATCCCCAGGGGAACCTGGGAAATGGACATAACAGCATCCGACCCCCAGGGGCCCCCCAACTGCATTCTGCACCTGGGAACACTCCGCCGCAGGCCCTGAGATAGCCAGCCTGGCCTGTCCAGTTGCTGTTACTGCCACAGCCTTGGCTCTGAGCTTCAGGCTGGGTGGGCTTCCAGCTCCCGCCCGGCCTTCCTTCTCTAGAGCACTTGGCGCCCACCTTCGAGGGCCGCACCTTCTGCCCAGTGCTGCCACCGACTGCCCAGAGCTCCCGCTGCAGCCCCGAGAACATGCCACAGGTCCCACAGGGCTGCCACCAAGTCCCAAGGGCCCTGCTCCCATAAAGTGAGACGTGCGGCCCCGAAGAAGCCCCTTCCCCCGGACACGAGGACCCCTGGTGACGCTGCGGCCCCTCCCCTCCAGCCTCGGCCACCACCTGGCTCGCAGGACCTCAGGCCCAGGCCGGGCACAGCCACTCACAGCCACAGCGAGTTCCTCCCCTGCGTGATGACCCCCGTGAAGCGCGTCAGCCGCCGGGCGTCGACCTCCAGCCACTGGTGCAGATCCTTCCGGCCGGCGCACCAGGCCCCGTCGTAGACGTCGTTCTCAAGGATCCCCGCCTGCAGAGCGGAAGAAGCGGGAAGGTGAGGACAACTGGGTGGAGGTGGCAAAGATCGAGCTCAGAAGGGGAGGCACCGGGCCTGGCTACTGCCTCCCTCCCAAGAGGGGCTGCTATGGAATCAGCTGGGACCCCCTCAGCCGGCCCAGCCTCCTCCCGGCCAGACTCCAGGACGGGCTTTAATGGGTTTCCTGGGCTCTCCATCCCTCACGTGTCTGACACACGGCATCTGCCTCTCCCCCGGGCAGCTGTACGCCAGGTGCAGCACAGACAAAGGGTGGGCCGCCTCCTCCCGGGAGCCCGCCAGGCAGAGGCGTGGAAACAGACTCAGGAGAACACAGTGTGGCAGGTTCTGTGCCAGGGAGGGAGGATCTGGGCCCGCGCCAGTTCTCAGTGGGGAGACCAGAGGGGAGGGCTGAGCAGAAGGCCCTCGGGTGGACCTGGGGAACCCCAACTTGGTACCACGTTTGCCCCTGGACACAGGCGAGGCTCTCTGAACCCGAATCCCCAAGCTCAATCTACATACGGATTGAGCTGTTTCTTCTCTAGAATTTCCCACGTGGGATCAACATTTGAAGGGAGAATCCCCTTCCACCCCCTCCGAAACAGGACATTTGGACCAAGCGAAGCTTCCTGGGGGTACCGAGTCCCTTTCGACATTAACTCCAATTCCCCAAAGCCATTGCACAATACCGAGTGAGAACTGTGTGACTGACGAGGTTCACCAGAAGGGCCCTCTCCCTGCCGCCCTGTCTCGGGAACCCCACCAGGGCACTGGCTGCCACCCACAGCAGCCCACCCCAGCCTTGGGTCGGGGCCGGAACCCCTCCCCTCACACCCCGGGGCTCCCCACCAGCCGGCGGTTCTGAAACGCTGCCCCCTCCGAGGGGAGGATGGGAACCTGGACCCAGCTCCTTCCCAGACCCCAGCTCCACCATCCAGCACCCCAGGGCTGAAGACATCGGGGATGTCTCTAGTAGGACCCCCACATGCTCTGAAGTCCTGCCCTCTAGAATCACAAGGACAGATGGAAGTTTCTGGTCCTCGGTGGCACGTGGGAACCTGGGGTTAATGTGCTCTCAGCAGGTCAGCCAGACCCTGTTCTCTCCCGCACAGGCAGGCAGCCGGGAGACCCTGGGATTTGGAGTCTGGGTGGCCACACCTAGCGATGCTCAGGGGTCACTCCTGGCTCTGCACTCAGGCATTACTCCCGGCGGTGCTCGGGGGACCCTATGGGAGGCTGGGAATCGAACCCGGGTTCGATTCCACATGCAAGGCAAATGCCCTCCCCGCTGTGCTATCGCCCCAGCCTCTTGAGACCCTGGGGTTTAGAGAGAAAGATGTACATGCCCGAGGGAACCACCATCGGGAGTTGAAAGTTCCGGCAGAGCTGGGAGTTTGGGGGGTCAGGTGGAGTGTGGAGGGCACTGCTGGCACCGCCATCTGGGAGACGTGTGTACTCTGGAGCTGGCTGAGCTGCAGCAGTACATGTGTTCACGGCGTTGGTTGGGTGCCCAGGACCCCTGAGGGCCGTGGCCCTGTAAACACCCGTGTCTTGAGAAATCAAAGTTGCGTCCACAGGTGGCCGGCGTCCAGCTGCTCTAGCCCTGCAGGTGCCTGTTGGGCGGGCCCAGTGTCCGGCCCCATGGCCCCAGCGGCAGAGAGGGGATCTCAGGGTTACACTGCCAGAGTGAAGCCAGACATCGGACCCCTGCAGTTGCCAGGACCTGGCAATCTCCATACTAGGCCACCACGAAGCAAATTCCAAAGCCTTTCCCGGGTGGAGTTGTAGCTCTGGGCTGGGCCCTGAGAGCTACCATAAGGCCCAAGCTCAAGGCGTGTGCACAGGCACAAAACATAGTGACTTTTTCTTTTTTTCTTTTCTTTTCTTCTTTTTGGGCCACACCAGGCAATGCACAGGGGTTCCTCCTGGCTCTGCACTCAGGAATTAACTCCTGGCGGTGCTCAGGGGGCCATATGGGATGCTGGGGATTGAACCTGTGTGCAAGGCAAATGCCCTCCCCACTGTGCTCTCTCCAGCCCCAGACAGCTGAGAAAAGGAGTCATGGAACAGTGAGGCGACTTTCCAGGCTGGCTGTGCCTCCCAGCTCGGGAGGGACGGGCCATCAGAAATGTGAGCTGACCATGTGGGCCATACTGTGAGGAGCCCAAGCACCCAGGAAGGGCCAGGTGGGGTGGCAGGGCACATGCCCAGCGTGTGTGATGCCCAGAGCCCCATTCCTGGCATCGCTTGGTCTCCCCAAGAGCGTCCTTCTGAGCACCACAGCTAGGAGGGGCTAAAGGCAGGGCGCGGGAGCCCCCCAGGTCTTCCCAGGGGACTGAGGCTCCAGGGCGTGGGCTCCCCTATCCGGGCACCATGACCCTGGACCCCTCTGCCCTGAGCCTGTGCTGCCTCCTTCCTACGATGCAGTTTCCCAGAGCAGAATGAAGAGTCACTGACATTAGTTTCAGAGAAACGAAACGACAAAGTGAGGAAGAAGCACGAGGAAGGACACAGACCCCACCCGAGTCCTGGGTGCCCTGATATCAGGGTTCGCAGAGAGGGTCCTTGTTATCCTGGGGTCCCCCTTTTCTGGTCCTGGGCTACCTGACCACCCCCTTCCCCCAGTGTATGATACCACCTTGTCGAGGATAGGCACAGTGCCACGCACCCACCTTGTGGCAAACCCTCTTCTAGAATTTTCTAAGAAAGTCATGACTTATAATATTCAGCCCCACCTCGGAGGGGGGAGGGTTGAATTTGCCTCCCCGCCCCAAGCAGCACCCTGGCAGCCGAAAAACTCCAGAATCCAACCACCATCATGCTTAAGGCCACCCTGCACACGCTCGGGTGAGCCTCACCCAAGAGGGAACCGGCAGAGGAACCCAGGTGGTGTGGCCCCGTGACTGAGATCTCCAAGCCCACTAGGATCAGGACTGGGCATCCTCCCCACAGTTCTCCAGTTTCCACTCCTCTAACTGCCCCCAGTGCCATATAATCTCAACAGCCAAGACCTGGAGACTATAAACTAAAGGTCCCGGAAGAGAGCAACACAGAATTTTCTGGAGAGCTCGGCCGCAAAATCCACTTGCTTGTATTCTCTTATATTCGGGCTTAAATGGGTCCAGAATAAAATACAACAACCTTCACATGCTTCCCTCTTATTGAGGTGGGAAGGGGCTCGGTGGTGGGATTGGTGTTTGAATATTATCTGTAATGAACTATTGTGAACTACTTTATGAAAATAAAAATACATAAAAATTGCAAAAAACATTACTGCAGTGTAACACTGTCCTCCCTTTGTTCATCGATTTGCTCGAGTGGGTCCAGTAACATCTCCATTTTCAGACTTGTTGTTACTGTGTCTGGCATATCGAATATGTCACGGGGAGCTTGCCAGGCTCTGCCGTGCGGGCGAGATACTCTCGGTAGCTTGCCGGGCTCTCCGAGAGGGGCGGAGGAATCGAACTGGGGTCGGCCAGGTGGGCCACGTGCAAAGCAAATGCCCTACCTGCTGTGCTATCGCTCCAGCTCTGTGCTATTGCAAAAAAAAAATTTTTTTTTTAAATTTTAAAAAATTTAGCCCCATTGTTCCCACCAAAAAAATCTAATGATGAAAAATTTCAGCATGTTGGCATGTCAACACCATCTCCCGGACTGTTTCCTTGAAACCAGGCACAGACAAACCCCCTTTATCAGAACACACACAGCATTGTGGGCCTGTGAAACTAGAAAACCGACTGACCCTCGTGTTTGCTTCTTCCCACCACACAGAGAGCCCGGGGGCGGGGAGGCTTATGGCTCCCCATGAGAGAACCCCAAGTGTAGGACCCACGTTAAAGCTCCAGATTAAAGCCCCCAACTCATAGCCCCAACCCTGGGCCTATCATGGAGTCCCATCAGAGCCCATAGAACACCCCATCAGGGAGTCCCCTCCGAGTCCCTTTATAGGAACCCGTCACAGAGCCCCAGTTAGAGCCCTCCTGGTCACAGAACCTCCAGTAAGAGCCCCCACCCCGCCCCGGCACAGCCCCTGGTGAGAGTCTCCTGGTCACAGAGCCCCCAGTTAGAGCCCTCCTGGTCACAGAACCCCAAGTTAGAGCCACCTGGTCACAGAACCTCCAGTAAGAGCCCCCCCCCAGCCCTGGCACAGAGCCCCCAGTTAGAGCCTCCTGGTCACAGAGCCCCCAGTTAGAGCCCTCCTGGTCACAGAACCCCAAGTTAGAGCCACCTGGTCACAGAACCTCCAGTAAGAGCCCCCCCCAGCCCTGGCACAGAGCCCCCGGTTAGAGCCTCCTGGTCACAGAACCCCCAGTTAGAGCCCTCCTGGTCACAGAACCCCAAGTTAGAGCCACCTGGTCACAGAACCTTCAGTAAGAGCCCCCCCCCCCCACAGCCCTGGTCACAGAGCCCCCAGTTGGAACATGCAGAGGGAGCCAGCAGGGGAGGGCAATGCTCCAGCTGGGCGTGAGACAAGACGTCTGTGCAGTGCAGAAGCCGTGTCTAAGGACAGGGCAGCAGAGCCAGGAGTCGACCACCAGGAATGGGAGCAGGTCCTAGTGTCGCCAGGGCCCAGCAGGTGGCGGCTCCGTCCAGCGTTGTGGCTGCATGTGGGGCCAGAGCCACGCCTATCCTGGGCAAGCTGCACCCCAGTGCCCACCCCCCACCCCTGCACATACCTGGATGTTGAGCCTCCCGCGATGCGCCCCGAGTCCGTAACGCTTGGTCGTGGAGGCGTGCAGTTGGAAGTCTGTGACCTTCAAGTTCTCCAGGCCTAGAGGCGGGCACTCTGCAGAAGAAGCACACGTGACGCGCAAGGACACTGATGGGAGAGGTAAGACTCTCTGAATCTCCGGGCACTGTCCACCCACCACACGCCCGGTGACCTCAGGTCACTCCTCCAGTGTCGCCCAGGGGCCTGAGCCCATCCCATGCTCGTTCCGTGCCTGTCCTGGGGATGGGTGCATGTTAATCAGGACAACGTGCCTGTGAATCACAGCCACGGGGCCAGGTGGGTTGGGGTCCCACAGAAGGGGAAAGTGGAGCGGGAGAGGTACCAGCTGTCGCTGGGGGCCCTGGGGATATCTGGGCCCAGGTGCTAGGACCCCACACCTCCTGCGGCCACCAGTGCAAGCCGCTCCCTTGGCCCCAAACACGGAGGTGCTGTGACTCTGCATTCCTCCTGTCACCTCTCTGAACTGGACAGTCAGCAGGTCACAGAGCATGTCGGGGGCCTCTCGGTGCCCAGAGAACTTCCTCTTGGGGGACTCTCTCCCTGCCTCGGCCGTCTCTACCCTCTCTCATAGCAAGGGAGTTACGGTCAGCTTCTCGAACCTTCCTTATCGCCGTGACCTCTCAGAGAAGAAGGAAATCCCATCACAAAAGACCCGCGGACCCTCACCCTGAACCCTCCAGGGAGGGGACACACTGAGCTAACTTCAGAGTCTGGTCTTTGGGGAGCTTAGGGGATTCCTGGGTCCTCCCCAGAAATCCTGACTGACCAGTCCATGGGGATGGAAGCTGACTGCTCATCTTCCTGGCAACTCGGAGACCTCAGAACTGGCTGGGGTCCCCCCTGCTCGGAGGGTCTTCTCAGGCCCCCTGGTTAAACTTCTGGGGCTCTGGCAGCAATGTCAGCTGGAGCTTGGTGGGAATGAATCATTCGCACACACAACCAGGGTAAATTGAACTGCCGAAAACTCATCCCTGGCCCAGTTTCCCTCATGAATTCTCCGGAAGCCACACACCTCCAGTCCTCTGCACTCTTCCTTCATATTTTCACTAAAATCACAGGTTTTAAATGCAAACACGTTAATGTCAAGGAAATTCTGATGAGTAGAAGGTGACAGCGGAAATAGCTTTATGATCATTCAGTAAAACTGAAAATGAAAATAGATTTCAATATAAAACTAAAACATAAGGGGAAAATATCTGATGTATTGAACACTCCTGTGGTTCAAAACACCGAGAGTATATGAAAAGGGGTGCAGACGGAGAAGTGGCTGAGAGAGAAGGGGCAGAAAGAGAAGGAACTGAGGGAGAAGGGTGATGAGGGAGAGGGGGCTGAGAGAGAAGGGTGATGAGAGAGGAAGGTGTGAAGAGAGGAGGGTACTGAGGGAGACGGGGCTGAGGGAAAAAGGAGCTGAGGGAGAAGGAGCTGAGGGAGAAGGGTGATGAGGAAGAAGGAGCTAAGGGAGAAGCAGCTGAGGGAGAAGGAGCTGAGGGAGAAGGGTGATAAGGGAGAAGGGTGATGAGGGAGAACGGGCTGAGGGAGAAAGAGCTGAAGGAGAAGAAGCTGAGGGAGAATGGCGATGAGGGAGAAGGGGCTGAGAGAGAAGTGTGCTGAGAGAGGAAGGTGTGAAGAGAGGAAGGTGATGAGGGAGAAGGGGCTGAAGGAGAAGGAGCTGAGGGAGAAGGAGCTGAGGGAGAAGGAGCTGAGGGAGAAGGAGCTGAGAGAGAAGGGTGACAAGGAAGAAGGGTGATGAGGGAGAAGGGACTGAGAGAGAAGGGAGCTGAAAGAGGAAAGTGTGAAGAGAGGAGGATGCTGAGGGAGAAGGGGCTGAGGGAGAAGAGAGATGAGGGAGAAGGAGCTGAGGAAGAAGGAGCTGAGGGAGAAGGGTGATGAGGGAGAAGGAGCTGAGGAAGAAGGAGTTGAGAGAGAAGGATCTGAGGGAGAAGGTCGACGAAGGAGAAGGGTGATGAGGGAGAAGGGGCTAAGAGGGAAGGGTGCTAAGAGAGGAAGGTATGAAGAGAGGAGGGTACTAAGGGAGAAGGAGCTGAGAGAGAAGGGGCTGAGGGAAAAGGAGGTGAGGGAGAAGGAGCCGAGGAACAAGGAGCTGAGGGAGAAGGGGGAAGAAAGAGAAGGGGGATGAGGGAGAAGGAGAGGAGTGAAAGGGAGCTGAGGGAGAAGGGTGATGAGGGAGAAGGAGCTAGGGAGAAGGAACTGAGGGAGAAGGGTGATGAGGGAGAAGGAGCTGAGGGAGAAGGAGCTGAGGGAGAAGGGTGATGAGGGAGAAGGGTGATGAGGAAGAACGGACTGAGAGAGAAGGGTGCTGAGAGAGGAAGGTGTGAAGTGAGGAGGGTGCTGAGGTAGAAAGGGCTGAGAGAGAAGGGGCTGAGGGAGAAGGAGCTGATGGAGATGGAGCTGAGGGAGAAAGAGCTGAAGGAGAAGGGTGATGAGGGAGAAGGAGCTGAGGGAGAAGGAGCTGAAGGAGGACGGTGATGAAGGAGAAGGGTGATGAGGGAGAAGGGGCTGAGTGAGAAGGGGGATGAGAAAGAAAGGCGTAAAGAAAGGAGGGTGCTGAGGAAGAAGGGGCTGAGGGAGGAGGAGCTGAGGGAGAAGAAGCTGAGGGAGAAAAGTGATGAGGGAGAAGGGTGATGAGAGAGAAGGGGCTGAGGGAGAATGTGCTAAGGGAGGACCTGAGGGAGAAGGGGGATGATGGAGAAGGAGCTGAGGGAGAAGAAGCTGAGGGAGAAGGGTGATGAGGGAGAAGGGTGATAAGAGAAAAGGGGCTGAGGGAGAATGTGCTAAGGGAGGACCTGAGGGAGAAGGGTGATGAGGGAGAAGTGATGAGAAAGAACGGTGATGAGGGAGAAGGAGCTGAGGGAGAAGGAGCTAAGGAAGAAGGGTGATGAGGGAGAAGGGTGTTAAGCGAGAAGGAGCTGAGGGAGAAGGAGCTGAGAGAGAAGGGTGATGAGGGAGAATGGACTGTGGCAGAAGGAGGTGAGGGAGAAGGAGCTGAGAGAGAAGGGTGATAAGGGAGAATGGTGATGAGGGAGAAAGTATTGTGGGAGAAGGAGGTGAGGGAGAAGGGTGATGAGGGAGAAGGGTGATGAGGGAGAAGGAGAGGAAGGAAAAGGAGCTGAGAGAGAAGGGTGATGAGAAAGAATGGGCTGAAGGAGAAGGAGCTGAGGGAGAAGGAGCTCAGGGAGAAGGGTGATGAGGGAGAAGGGTGATAAGCGAGAAGGAGCTGAGGGAGAAGGAGCTGAGGGAGAAGGGTGATGAGGGAGAAGGGGGCTGAGGTAGAAGGTGCTGAGGGAGAAGGCTGATGAGGGAGAACGTACTGTGGGAGAAGGAGCTGAGGGAGAAGGAGCTGAGGGAGAAGGGTGATGAGGGAGAAGGAGCTGAGGGAGAAGGAGATGAGGGAGAAGGGTGATGAGGGAGAACGGTGATAATAGAGAAGGGGCTGAGGTAGAATGTGCTTAGGGAGGAGCTGAGGGAGAAGCGTGATGAGGGAGAAGAAGCTGAGGGAGAAGGGTGATGAGGGAGAAGGAGCTGAGGGAGAAGGAGCTCAGGGAGAAGGGTGATGAGGGAGAAGGGTGATAAGCGAGAAGGAGCTGAGGGAGAAGGAGCTGTGAGAGAAGGGTGATGAGGGAGAATGGACTGTGGGAGAAGGAGCTGAGGGAGAAGTAGCCGAGGGAGAAGGATGATGAGGGAGAAGGGTGATAAGGGAGAAGGGGCTGAGGGGGAAGGCACTAAGGGAGGATCGGAGGGAGAAGGGTGATGGGGAGAAGTAGCTGAGGGAGAAGGGCGATGAGGGAGAAGGGGGCTCGGGTAGAAGGTGCTGAGGGAGAACGGTGATGAGGGAGAATGTACTGTGTGAGAAGGAGCTGAGGGAGAAGGAGCTGAGGGAGAAGGGTGATGAGGGACAAGGAGCTGAGGGAGAAGGAGATGAGGGAGAAGGGTGATGAGGGAGAACGGTGATAAGAGAGAAGGGGCTGAGGTAGAATGTGCTTAGGGAGGAGCTGAGGGAGGAGCGTGATGAGGAAGAATTAGCTGAGGGAGAAGGGTGATGAGCGAGAAGGAGCTGAGGGAGAAGTGAGATGAGGGAGAATGGACTGTGGGAGAAGGAGTTGAGGGAAAAGAGGCTGAGGAGAAGGGAGATGAGGGAGAAAGAGCTGAGGGAGAAGGAGCTGAGGGAGAAGGGTGACGAGGGAGAAGGGTGATGAGCGAAAAGGAGCTGAGGGAGAAGGAGCTGAGGGAGAAGGGTGATGAGGGAGAAGGGGGATGAGGGAGAAGGGTGACGAAAGAGAAGGAGCTGAGGGAGAAGGGTGACGAGGGAGAATGTACTGTGGGAGAAGGAAATGAGGGAGAAGGAGCTGAGGAGAAGGGTGATGAGGGATAAGGGTGATGAGGGAGATGGGGCTGAGAGAGAGGGAGCTGAGGGAGAAGGGTGATGAGGGAGAAGGGTGATGAGGGAGAAGGAACTGAGGGAGAAGGAGCTGACGGAGAAGGAGATGAGGGAGAAGGAGCTTAGAGAGACTGGTGCTGAGAGAGGAAGGTGTGAAGAGAGGAGGGCACTGAGGTAGAAGGGGATGAGGGAAAAGGATGAAGAGGCAGAAGAGTTGAGGGAGAAGGAGCTAAAGGAGAAGGGTGATGAGAGAGTAGGCTGATAAGCGAGAAGGAGCTGAGGGAGAAGGAGCTGAAAGAGAAGGGTGATGGAGAATGGACTGTGGGAGAAGGAGGTGAGGGAGAAGGAGCTGAGGGAGAAGGAGCTGAGGAAGAAGGAGCTGAGGGAGAAGGGAGATGAGGGAGAAGGGTGATGAAGGAGAATGGCCTGAGGGAGAAGGAGCTGAGCGAGATGGGTGATGAGGGAGAAGGAGCTGAGGGAGAAGGATCTGAGGGAGAAGGGTGATGAGGCAGAAGGAGCTGACGGAGAAGGAGCTGAGGGAGAAGGGTGATGCGGGAAAAGGGGCTGAGTGAGAGGGCGGTGATAGAGGAGCTGAAAGAGAAGGGAGATGAGGGAGAAGAAGCTGAGGGAGAAGGGTGATAAGGGAGAGGGTTATGAC